GCCCCATCGTGATTGGACGGCGGCGGACCGTAGTGTGCGGCCGCCGGACACCTTACACCGGCGCCCGCAACTTCCCCACAAGGTCACCGCTGCCGCCCCTCTGAGCTCTGTCGCCCCGAGGCCGGGGCCTTGGTGGCCTTGTGGGAAATCCTAGCCTGACTGTATGTATTATCTTTGTGGTAGTAAAAAGATCATATATGATTGATGAATAATACAACATATTGCAATATGCATTTCATACCATTCTATGCAACTTATGTCATTTCAGGTAAACGCATATGTTAATTACAGTATTGTATATTTTACACAAGAAGATTTACAACATATATACTTGCAGAGATAAACAGATAACCTTTTTTCAGAGTTTTGAAAAAAAAATGTCAAACAATATATTCTGTTTATGTTAGTAACATGCAGCCATTTAATTTCTATGAATTACATTATTTTTCTATGTATTTATGAAGATAAGAGAAAAGCTGTCAGTATCCACAGCACATCACATTCAGACACTGATATGTACACATAAGATTAAAAAAAACTATTGACTGGCAGCTAGACTGTTTGCAAAGCATGGTCATGAATATCACTGTCATAGAAACTGAAATGAGAAAAACTAAGGCTTCTAATCTGTACCAAGTAAGCACCATACAAATACACTGAGCAACACTTGTCATTACAAAGTTATTTATTTTGTGAATGTGCAGTAAAAGCATTAGACTGACTGCAAACAACAAAAACAATGCATTACAAAGAGCTTACCTATGTCACACAACAGTACTTTGCAAAACACAAACTTACAGTGTAAGACTGTGAATAACTATTAATATTGCAGTTTATATACCGTGTTTCCCCGAAAGTAAGACCTACCCTGAAAGTAAGACCTAGCGCTATCTTCATGAGCGGAGAGCGGAGAGCGGACAGCTGCAGCCAGGTACACATAAGACATCCCCCGAAAATAAGACCTAGTGTCTTTTTTTGTGGAAAAAAAAATATAAGACACTGTCTTATTTTCGGGGAAACACGGTATGTGCAGTAACAATAACATTTCTTCCTGTCCTTAACAAGTGACACTTATGCAGTTCAGAATTCAAACTGAAACATCTTCAACAGTTTGATATGGGAATTAAAAAAAAAAATCTACTTCAGTTGTTCTGACATATATGAAACCCTTTTATATATGAAACTATTTTTTCCTTTATAACATTAAACCAGCTAGAAGGCATGGCGGCCATTTACTCTTTTAAACACACCAAAATATGGATTAGCACAAACTGAGATAATAGCCTTTTCAATGCATTAGTAACACACAGTACTTTCTATATGTTGTAGGTATTGTGGGCCTCTGGTCACTGGCAATATTAGCCTTTGAGAGATACCTAGTGATCTGTAAACCCATGGGGGATTTCCGATTTCAGAAGAAACATGCTATTATGGGGTGTTCATTCACCTGGATTTGGGCTAGCATATGGACATCTCCACCTCTGTTTGGCTGGTGCAGCTATGTTCCTGAAGGTAAGCCAAATTCTTTTTACCAATTAAGGCCAATTAATATACACACTTATAAAAAATAACCACAGTGCAAAACATTAAAGTTTTATCTGGGTCTAAACCAAACACTGAAATGACAATTGTTTTGAACCTGCTAAAAGGTTTCTACCGAGTATATGACAGGTAATCCCTATTGTACACTATTTGTAGAACTTAAAAATAAGTACCGTAATACAGTGATCACTGAAGACCCATACAGTGCAGTAACCTATTGCATCTAATCAGCTTTCACCTGTTGAAAGTCAGTGCAATTACAAATGATTGTTGTGTGGTTGTTGTGAATTACTTGCACTTTATAAGTTGCTCTTTGACTTTGTTAAATAAGCTTTACTACTTACACTGAATATTACTGAGTACGGCATATAAGACAGAGATAATGACACAGTTATTAACTTACTGACTGTGGAAAGGCTATAACTTCTACTGGGTTTGTATTGCTATCTCTCTATTGTCCCACTGGTGACATTTCACCTTATTTCCTGTTTTGGTGATACAAGGACAAGAAATGAAAGATACTAAAACAGGGACTGCAAGAAAAGGGTTTTATGGTAAGTACAAAAATCCTCTTTTCTTTCTTGGTCATTGATGGATACAGGAATTTAAATACAGTCAGGATGTCCAAAAGCAGTCCCACCGAGGACTGCCCAACACAGCAACAACTGGCAACAGGCCCAAAAAGAACTGGGAACTGCCTGCAACATAGAGGCTACTTGAAGGACCAACGCCCGAACGGATAAGGCCACCTGGAAGGAACAGGTACCAGAAGAGGACCTAAACAAAAAAACAGGTCCTGGTGAAAAGGCGAGCCAGTAAATCTTACACCCCTGACCCCTAGGGTCACAGGACAAAAATTCCATGCTGAAATTGTCTAGTCATACAACTATCCTTGTTAAGCAAGACTTGCCAGTGAAACTCCTGAATCAATTAAATTACAACAGCCTCAAGGGAGTGTGACATGATTTATGAGTCCGCCAGGGAACCCAAGAATTTGAACCTACAGAGTTTACATGATGGAAGGGATAGGGTGCATGGGAAGCACCTCCACATGGGTCCAAACTGGTGAGATGGAAGCAACCAGGTAGAACTGAAGGATGAGATAATGCATCCTCCCTGGATGAAAAATGTGTAGAGTTACTGCAGTGGAATCCACTGAAGACTGATCCTGCCTATCCCTGATCTCAAGCTACAGGTGTAGGAGACCTATCTGTTCTGTGGTACCAGACTGTAGCTGATAGCTGATGATGGAGCCTCAGTAAGAGGAACCATTTACCAGCCATCTAATGGATAGGCTACTTAGGAACTGAACCCGCATCAGCGTGGGCTAATGTGGAACAGGAAAAAAAAGGACGCATGCTAGGTAGAGGAGGAGTTATCCTGGGACTGGCTTGTATCCTGACAGTAGTAACCTGACAGTATCTGTGTCCCTTAATGGACAAGAAACAAAATAATTTTATACCTCTCTCTCTGTTACCATTGGAAGGATTTCCCTTCACTTTTTGTCCTGTGATACACTATTGCTGCTGGAGCTGGATTTTAAAGCACACATTGTAATTTTTAACTTTTTGTTATTAGATAGCATTGCTCAACAATTTGGCCTTTACAAACCTGTCAGTCTTATTTTCTGCCTTCTTAATACTTTCAGTAATTCTCATTTAGGTCTGAGGACGTCGTGTGGACCCAACTGGTACTCCGGGGGTACAAACAATAACAGTTATATCATGGCCTTATTTGCGACTTGCTTCGTTATGCCTCTTAGCACTATTATATTCTCCTATTCTAACCTCCTAATGGCACTCCGAGCAGTAAGTACCAAAACTACACTTTTTTCCCAAAATTCACATTTCTATTCAAGTTACTACCTGTGTTTTCATACTGCTATAAGTTTGATCAATGTAATATTCAGGGGGTTTCATTTACAATATTTTGAAGTAATACAATATGCTATATCGTGATTTTGCCAAAATGCACAGCTCCAACTCAAAAAAGAAAAAAAAAAAACAGACGAAAAAACAAAAGGAAGGCTATTAGGCGGAAAATCTGAAAATGTTTCCTGGGTACTTTATACCAACCCATCTAACATACATCCAAAAAAAGCCACATTATGGGGACTAGTATAAAAGAGTCTGTAGAAGTTCTCATAAAGAGTTTTTTTTGGGTGTGTGTTTGTTAGAATAAACAGAAATAGGAACTATACCGCACTCCTTACCGGGATCCCCACTTGATGAGGATGGGTGCTCGAAATGACTGCGGATGGCACCGCCACACATGAACAATAGAAAAATTTCACCAGCACACCATAAGTTGAAAAAGCAAAACATTTTATTGCCAATAGCTGTATCTTATTGGCGGTGAGATACAGCTATTGGCAATAAAATATTTTGCTTTTTCAACTTATGGTGTGCTGGTGACATTTTTCTATTGTTTTTTAGAATGGCCCAGTCCAAAGTAGCGTGTGCCACAAAGGTATACTGGAGTACTGAAGATCAAACAGATGCATCGCGCTAATCGATAATCATAATACGTGAATAATAAAGTGCTAGATATCAAATAAATCACATATAACCCATATGGTTCATAAAAAGAGACAAAGTGCCAAGATGTAAATAACCATCCTTCTTATAGCTGTAGTGCTCAAACTCCCGGTGACTGTGAAACACACCGCACTCACCAGACTTCCATATTCAAAGAGGCATAACGATCCCAGTTCACAATCACTCCTTCACTCGCAGTAAGAGCTTCTTCCTCCACTCTGTGCTCTTTCACTGAAAAGCTTCCAGTTCAGGTGAGGTCATTTACAAAACGTATCTGTTCCCCAGAGAGGATAATAAACACATGGGGGTTACTCACAAAGCTGCCGAAGGCAGCCAAGTGAATAACCCAGCTGAAGTCAGGTGAGCCAAACAGCGTTTGGCTATTCACTTCTGCTCAATACGGCTGATTTCAGCCAAACGTCGGCTGAAATCAGCCGTTGATCGGCTGCCTTTGGCTGCACTTTGGTCAGCCGAACATGCTCTGCTGCCACGGCCCCCCTGTCTGCAGTGAGATGGGACGCGTGGCAAAACATTGCCTGTGTTCCGTTCCACTGTGAATGCAAAAAAATGCTGAATGCTCTATAATTTTGCATTCATAGTGGACTGGAATGATGGCAATGCTTTGCCCCGTGGCCGATCGCGGAGCGTGGCTGCCGTGCCATTGATTTCAATGCACCGCCACGCCCCCTCCCACCCCAGAGCGAAGGGGGAAGTTTAGTGAGTGATTGCTGTGCGTTCCAGCAGCTACCACTCTGGAACGCACCACAATTGGTGTGAACAAGCCCTCAGTCGGACAAAGCCACAGCAGTGGTGTACGACAACAATCAGGGAGGAACCACACTTCTCACTGCTCAAAGAGAAGCAAGCCAGATTCTAGCTTAAGGGAAAACTTCACATTCCAGTCCTGCCCACCATGCATATTCCACATGTCGTGGAAAATTGTCAGGTGGACTTCCACGATCATCAATGTCTTGACTCTGGAGAATGGCCTCTTCATCTGGGGGTTGTCCAAGACCTCTGTCAGAGGTGGTAAATGCTGGATGTGGACCTTTTGGCTTGCAGATTCAACAACATACTGGACAAGTTTGTGTCCAGGTCCAGTGATCTTCAAGTCGTGGCAGTGGTTACTTTGTGGCATCAGTTTAACCTTATCTACGCCATTCTTTCTCTGAATTTCCTTCTTCATCTGCTTTGCAGAATCAAAATGGAAGGCATTCTGGTGATACTTATCCCACCAAACTGGCCCAGATGGATGTGCAACTCGGACCTCATCAAACTCCTGGCAGCCTTTTCAGGATTGTCCGTATCTCTTATTTTAAGGACTGGTTTACGACCCTACTTTATGGTCACTGGGTGTACCGGCATGGCTGTTGAACCCTACTTTATGGTTGCTGACTTTACTGGCATGAATGTTGAAGCCCAGTTTCTAAAAGATAGGGGCCTCTCTGATTTCGTTATTCCTATGGTCCTAAAAGCTAAGAAGTGCACCTCTCGCAGGGTCTAGCATCACACTTAGAAGGAGTACTTTGCATGTTGCAAGGCAAGGAAATTCCATTCTAGGACATAATCCTTGGGATGCATCCTGACCTTTCTCCTGGATCAATATTTGGTCTTGAGTTCTATCAAAGGTCAGATCTCGGCTTGTGTGATTCTTTTGCAAAGATCACCACTACCTGCTTTTAATTCCACCTTTTCTAGGTGGCTTTGGCAGCTCATCATTTAGGCCTATAGGGTTAAGGACAAGGTTCCACCATTTCCTGTCATAGCACACTCGACTAGATCAGTAAGGGCTGCTTGGGCTTTTCAGCATCAAGCATCTGTTTCTCACATTTGAATGGCTATCACCTGGTCTTCTGTTCACACGTTTGCTAAGTTTTACCAGGTGGATGTTCGGGCCTCCTCTGATGCCAGTTTAACATTCTTCAGGCTGCTCTGTTTACTTCAACTAACCCAAGATTTCACATGTTTTTTGGGCATGTTAGCATTTTGGACTGCTTTGGAATGTCCCAGTTGTCACGAGATCCTTCTGTCCCTTAAACATTTAAGAAAACAGGATTTTTGACTACCCTTAAAATCCTATTCTTGGAGATAATTAAAGGAGAACTATGACATGAGTGATTTCCACTCACCTCATAGTTCTAAGCCGACCTGTGACAATGAGACTGTCACAGGTCAGCTCAGTAGATCGGGAGGTGAGGGAACACATACTGGGTTCCCTCACCTCTGGATCCTGTCACGGCTCTCTGCCTTGACAGGGGGAGGGGCTGGATTCCCCTCTCCCCGCTCCGATCTGCCAGCGCTGACTGGCGGAACGGACGGGGGAGGGGGCGGGTACAGCTGGCTCTGCCTCTAGATAGGCAGAGCCAGCTGTCACTCACGCAGCTGGGCGGATCCCGTCATCTAAGTCGGGATCCGCTCCAGGTGCGGCGTCTCAGTATACCGCGAGCTGTAGCTCGCGGTATACTGAGCTAAGGGTAACGGGAGGACGCTAGTTTGTGTCCTCCCGTTACCCCAAGGAGAACTATGGGGAAAAACACTGACCCCATAGTTCTCCTTTAAGGGACATAGGTCGCACTCTGTCTTATGATGCAGTCCTACTATTGCTGTTCCACAAAACTGAAGCATGACAGGAGGGGTAATACCATGATTACTTAGAGATTTTGTTCGTCAGTGTCCAAACTCCCTTAGGCAAAGGTATATCCCCTATTGTCCCAGAATCCTGACCCTGTGTCCCTTAATGGGAAAGGATTTTTCTGTATACCAAAGATGCTGTTTTATAGACCAACTAATAATGATGACAGTATAAAGCTACAAACAACATGATTATATGTACACTGAATACAGTTAGATGTACACATATAACTATATTCTACTTACCCATAGCGTTATTTGTTGAAATGACCTCAGCTTTTTATACAGTTTTGTAATAGTCACATGCTTTGCGTTGTGCATGCAGCAAAATACATTTGCCTGAGATAACCAGGTAAACAACTTTCAAGTTAACAATCCATTCCAAAAAATAAGCATTGATTAAGTGGGGTTTTCAGTGATTAGTAAAACTTTTTCTCAAGATGTGCATATCTGATCCATTTGCAATTTTGTACATTGATCTGCATACTAGTTCCCCTTCAGAAAGCAGTCCATTGCTTTTAACTCATTCACTTTTGGTCCATGAGATTGTGGGATCCTGCCTTTCTTTAGTTGCAGATTGCACAAAAGATTGTGCGGCAGAATTCTTCTTGTGATATCATAACCTTTAGGAAGTACTGTGCCCTTATCAACTCTGCCCTCATAAGAAGGTATAGTACTTCCTAAATTGGCATATTACATTACGGGGGGCAGCAAAGCCCACTCTGATATTCTGAACCCTCTGCTCCTGAATAAAAGTGGGATTCTTATTGGATCACATACAGGTGAAACTCGAATAATTAGAATATCGTGCAAAGTTCATTTATTTCACTAATGCAACTTAAAAGGTGAAACTAATATATGAGATAGACTCATTACATGCAAAGCAAGATAGTTCAAGCAGTGATTTGTCATAATTGTGATGATGATGGCTTACAGCTCATGAAAACCCCAAGAACCCCAAATCCACAATCTCAGAAAATGAGAATATTACATGCAATCAATAAAACAAGGATTGTACATAGAACAATATCGGACCTCTGAAAAGTACAAGCATGCATATGTACTCAGTACTTGGTTTGGGCCCCTTTTGCAGAAATTACTGCCATTACTTTTGCACGATATTCTAATTATTCGAGTTTCACCTGTATACTTATGGACCAGAAGTCCATGGGTTATAGGCAGGGGGCCTGCACACCATCACAATGTTGTCATTCTTATGAATAGACATATTTGGGTCTGTTTGTGACCATATTTGGACAGAGTTGGCAAATATCTGTGGTTCATTGAAAATTACAGCTGTCTATTTTTGGCCATTTTGTATGTGGACAAATGCAAGAGAAGTGAAAGGCTAGACAATTGTCACTTGACTACCGTATATACTCGAGTATAAGCCGAGATTTTCAGCCCATAAATTATATTTTAGTATACAGCGTCAGATTCGTGAACATTAATGCCTGTAAAATGTATTTTGAATGAATGTATGTATGATTGTTATTGGAAAGTGGTCTATAATATTTTTTTTAATGCATTTTTTGAATTCTTTTTTTTAAATGGTAGCATAAATGTGCCATTGTGTGAATTGTAGCATTGGAAGTTCTGACTTCAACTGCTATTTGTATGTTCCCAGTCAGTGATTTGTATTGATGCAAGACAGTAAGGCAGGAGCTCTGCAGTAGCATACACCATATTTGTCTCATGACAAAATCTTTTAACCATGCTCTAATCAAATAGCATGTACATAGTTCAGATGTGAGCACAATACATATCTTTCTTGTACTCTAACAGGTGGCTGCTCAACAGAAAGAATCACAGACTACTCAGAGGGCTGAGCAGGAGGTGTCCAGGATGGTCATTGCTATGGTATTGGCCTTTCTCATCTGCTAGTTACCCTACGCTGCATTTGCCATAATTGCAGCTACCAATAAAGACATTGGTATTGATCCGACTTTAGCATCAATGCCTTCTTACTTCTCAAAAACTGCCACAGTGTACAACCCTGTCATCTATGTCTTTATGAATAAACAGGTTTGTGTCTTCTTAAATTAATAAGTAATAGTTTGAGCAGAAATATATATTGGTAGTGCAGATCTGAAAAGTGACTTGTTGCTGCCCATATCTTAACCAGACTTCAAGCAGAATTGAACTTAACTTTGCCACTGATGGGCTCTGCATGCTGATTTAAATCATCTTACATTCATTAAACATTAAAGTAATTCGCTAAACAAACTTGTTTTTTTTTTTCATTTACTTACAAATAGAGTTCACTTACAAATAGATTTCATCTACTTCCTGGTCCACTTCTGGCACAAATTATGTAATGTGCCAAAGTGTTGCATCCTGGGAAGGTTACATGAGCAGAGCATTGCTGGAAAAGCTCCTCTGTAATCTCATGAGATCTCAGGAAAAGGCATTTTCCTCCCCTGAGATTATGTACATGGTCACATGTCCCAGTCACATGTGCCAGAGTTCCAGGAAATAAAGAGAGAGCTAGTAACCTACCCGTACACTGGCGGAACTACCAGGGTCGCAGCGGTCGCAAATTGCGACCGGGCCCTGGTGTTCCGCCACTTGGGGGGGGCCCAGCAAGGAAGTAGAGGGCCCCCCCGCAATCGTTCCGCTCCTTCCCTGTCGCACAGCCACCCGCAGCATGTACGGGCAGCTGTGCAAAAGGGCTGGAGGCTGTCATCGATCTCGGAGAATTTGCTGGCCCCGCCTCTTAGAGGCGGAGCTAAGAGGTCTGTCTCCTCTTAGCTCCGCCCCCTGACCGCCGAGACGAGGAAGAGGGCCATGGGCCTGCAGGAGAGGTAAGGTAAGTTTGGAGTGGGAGCGGGTGCTGGGAAGAGAGAGAGAGAGAGTGTGTGTGTGTGTGTTGCTGGCACTTGTAGTCCAGCACAGCTGGTGGCAATCTGCATTGCTGTATGATGATTATACAGCAATGCAGAATAGCACCAACTATGTAGGACTACAAGTCCCAGCAATGCATTATAGTGGGGGGGATGCTAGTGGTATTCTGCATACACTACTATTATTATAATGTATTGCTGGGACTTGTAGTCCCGCATAGCTGGTGGTATTCTGCATTGCTGTATAATCATTATACAGCAATGCAGAATAGCTCCAACTATGTAGGACTACCAGTCCCAGCAATGCATTATATTTTTAAGTAGGGATACACCAGTGTTAATACTGGGCATTACTCATTACTCATTACTGGGCAGTACTCATACTCGTGAAAATGCCCCGATACTAAAAGCAGATACCGGTGTTCTGTCGAGAACGCCGATCTCAGCATCTGTGCTTACACACAGACCAATATTATCGAGGAAACCGGGATTTATTCACAAAGTATTTTGTTTAAATCGTTAATTGTGACCGATAATAATATTCCGTCCATCATTTCCTGCCATAGAACGGTCACAATTAACGGTTACAAATTAATACTTTGTAAATAAATGCCGGTTTCCTCGTTAATCACGTCTGTACATAAACGCAGATACTGGGTCGGCGTTCTCGACAGAACACCGGCACTAATGAACTTACACAATGCACCAAATCTCTGATCTATACAGATGAGCAGTAATAATAGTTTTGCGTAAGAAGAGTACAGTATGTAAAAATGATGGGGTCCATGGTATAATTTCAGAGGGTGCAATAATTATAAGCTGTAATGAGGTCAGGGGGTCCAAGCAGAATGGACAACCCCTCTCACTTTTTTAGCAGATGTATGCCCATATTACATGTAGTGCAGAATGCAGTATATCTATTTATCACACACACTTTTTCTGTATTACTATCTGTTGTATGAGCTTCCGGTAGGCTTACTGAAAAGATAAAGCTATACTACACCTAATGTAATTAAAAAGCAGGAGTTCAGACAGAATGGGACTGTCCAATAATACTCAATGTCACATAAGTGAGCTGCTGTTAAGACAGTGCACTTGCAGTTTTCAGTTATGTTTCTGGTTTATAATGAAAACTGCCTTTAAATCCAGTACTTATTTAAAAACATTAGGCATATGTTTGCATTAATGACAAGACAACATATGTCAACCTAGGACAGAATGTCATGGGGCCGAAGGTAGGCCTTGTTCAATAACCTCTTCCAATACCATTCTTACTCTGGTAAAGGCTTATATTGTCTAAGGCAGTGTTTCTCAACCTTTTTTTTGGGTCATGGCACCCTTTAAAAGTATGCAACACTTTGAGGGTCATCAGACTTTACATCAGATTCCCCTCCCTGTACATCAGGAGCACCCATTCACACTTGGAGCCCCTCTTTATATCAGAGCCCCCCATCACATCAGGAACCCCAATTTACATCAGAGTCCCCCCTTCATATCAAAGTCTTCCGTCCCCCCTTTACATTAGAGTTTCCCCTTCACATCAGAGGTGCAGTGTGTGAGGTCTGATACAGTGCCCCTAAAAGAAAAGCACATTCCTGCTTCACTTTAACAAATATTCTCAGCAGTGATGGCCAAAAAGCTGTAATAAAACAAGTGAGCAGGATGCAAAAACAGGCAATGCTGAATTTTTTGTGAAAATCAGAGCTGAAGTATAGGCAGAGACAAACTATGCGGGTTGGCTGTTTGTGTTCTAGCAACCGATTACATAATTTGTTTCCAGGATGCTGGCAGCCGGCCTGCACATCATCCTTGGTTGTTATAGTGCACCTACTATAGCAACTAGCTATAGCAAAGGTACCCCCTGCTCAGCTTTTGAGGTTTTTGCAATTTTAATTGATTTTAGACTAAACCCTTGAAGAACCCAGATGACACCCCGAGAAAGGCTGGCCTAGGTTGTCCAGCATATGTGGTTTAGGAGGCTGCACAACAGATATCCAACACTTCCAGAAACACAAAAGTAGACAAGAAGTACTGTTATGGTAAAATTTGATTGGACAGCAGTAACCAGCATCATAATGTGCACCTAGATAATATATAAAATACTTTTACATTTGAATAAAGACTACAACTTGGGGGAGAGATGCTGGATTGGTATGCAAATCGATCTGTCTTGTATACTGGTAATGACAATGCCACCAGAAGATTAATTTAGGATTTCACTAATGGGCCATCTGGCCAAGGGACCACTAGCTGCAGGAGAGATGTTATTCTTGAAGCCTTCTAATTTACAATTTATGTATTTGTTTTACAGTTCCGAAACTGCTTAATGACTCTTATATGCTGTGGACGCAATCCTTTTGGAGGGGGGGAAGAAACAAGCACGGCCAGTGCCCGTACAGAGGTCACTTCAGTGTCTGAAGGAGGTGGAAACAAGGTCACACCAGCATAATAGCTTTTGTATGCCAAATGCATTCTAAAGTCTATTAACTGTGTGTCCCCAACATATATATATA